TAGAAGCGGGTTTTTATCAGTAGGTTCGCGGTATAGTTTAGTAAGCAGTTTTCCTTGGCATATCGACACAGTGACGCCTAGAAAGTTTACCGAGAGCAAAGAGTGATTATGAGACAGCTTGATTGAAAGATGGAACTTATTAAACGCATTCATAAATTTCAAAATGCTTTCCTGCCCATTGGTACAAATTAATAAGATATCATCAATGAATCATTTATAAAAGAAAGGCTTTATGTCAGAGCTAGATAAGAAATCATCCTCCGAAATACCCATAAATATATTAGCATAATTCGGGTCTATACAAGTTCCCATAGAAGTATTGCTAACCTGAACGTAATTGCTATTATTGTATTCGAAGTTACTAAGTTCAAGAATAAGCTTCAGCATCGATGCCAGGGTTTCTTTATTTACAGAATTTTAAGAACAACCATCTTTGTACGCTTCAAGGATTGCTGAAATCTCATCTGCATGTGGTATGTTAATGTAAAGTGAGGTGACGTCGAGGGTTATGAGGAATGAATTATCTGAAATGGTAACGTTTATTATATCTTGGAAAAAACTATTGTTATCCTTTATGAATGATGGAAATGTTCCAGGAATTTGGTTGATAAGGGAGTCTACAAAATGTGAAAGGTTTTCCGTTATAGTGTTCACACCAGAAATGATCGGGCAGCCTGGGTTACCTTGTTGGTGAATCTTTGGTAGCAAGTAGAACCTACCACCCTATGGGACTGAGTGGTATGAGAGACCTAACAATTTTTTCGTTTAATTTTTAATTTGCTTTAGTAGTTTTGTGAGCTGATCTATCAAAATGGTCCTAAAGTTATCAGTTGGATTGCTAGGGAGGGGTTAATAAAAAGTGGTATCCGAGAGTTGTCTGGTCGCTTCCATGATATAGTCACTCTTATTAAGAACAACAATTGCTCCTCCCTTATCCACAGGTTTTGTGACGACATCTTGATTGTTAGAAAGTTCTAAAAGCGCTGTTTTTTTCGTCCTTTGTCATATTCTGTCAGTAACGAACACGAGTCTTGTATGCCTCGAGTACTTCTCGTTGCACTGCACTTATATACAAATGTAGACATCTATTGTGCTGTGACCGTGGGGTCCAGTGCTTGTATGACGGCATAGGTAGTTAAGCACCACTAATATTTTCACGGTTATGTAAGTACTTTTTTAGGCACATGGTTCGAGCAAAACTGTCCAGGTCTTTTAAAAGCTGGAATGCATTGAATCTACCAGAGGCTGGAAAAAAAGTAAGGCCTTTCGATAAGGCAGATATGTGAGCACCAGAAAGTACAATCGCCATCTACACAACCCGCACTAGTCTTTTCATCCTGGCCCGTTAACATCTCTTCCTTTGCAGTTTATCAAAATCAGAATGAGAAGTACAAGAGAATTCCTTAAAAAAGCGTATTCTGTCTCTACACCAGCAGCAAGATCCAACTCTCTCTGAGGCAGGAACTTACCAGCCACTGAAAAAAAAATTTCAGAAAACTAAAGCAGTGTGTGTCATGCCGTCCGTACTGTACGGCAGCCGCATTATTCCTTCCACACCTTCTTTCATATCGCTATAAATATGTTACAATATAAGGGAAAATGTCAGAGCTGCAGCATCACCTGTGACACACAATTATGCTAGCTCTTTTGAACTCATGCTACAGGTTACTTTTTTTTTCGTGAGTGTACATAATGCCTATATGAAAAGGTAAAGGTTCATCCCTACTATCTCAAATATTATGCTTGGCAGAGCAGCAATGCCTGAATACCCTGACAAAATTTTATAGGATATTCAAGATTCCAACCTAAAACCAGCGATGCAAATGTGCGTCTATTTGGGAAAGCCCACGTACTGAAAGATATGCTTGATGGGATGACTTTGAGTAAGCGCTACTGGATGGTGAACTCATGCGAAATTCTATGTGGCAGTGACTCGAATATTTTGGTGTTTGTTCGAGTCAACATAATAAGCAATTTTGATAAATTGACAGTTGTGATTGGGCTGTGCAGCAAGTGTCCTATCAGTGCTCTAAGTGAGTAGCCATTTTAGGCAACGCTGTCCTCGCACTCTCTACCACTTTGCATCCGTAAATTTTTGTGTCTCCAGACACGTAGACATACTTGTATAACACCACATAGTTTCATCGTGAGGTTGAATTGCCCAGTTTACCGAATCATACAATTGTCCTGTAGGGGCTCACGTTGCCCCACTCCTGAAATGCCCACTGTACAACAAAAAATTATTGCACATACATATACATTACTAGCTGCTTGGTAGGTTAATGCACATAGTTGTACGGTATGGAATTCAGGCAATTGAACATGCCTGACACTTGGCATGCTGCAGCTACATGCCTATTTCTTCTGAACGTGTGGTTGTCATTTCCTTACTAATTCATCAAAGAAATACACAATTTGAAAAGTTGTAAGCAGTGCCTCATTAACACAAGATCAGGCATGTTTGTGTACACAGAGATAAGGAAATATGTTTCATATAGTTGAGTGTTTATATTTAGATATATTCCTCTTGTTTTTATACTTTCAATATTACAGTATATTTATAAATGTGTTGCTGTGTTCCCAGAAACTCCTTTGCCACTGGCAATGCTACACAGTGCAACAAAAGTGCAGTTTTTGGCACTGTTGCCCATTTCAGCTTTTTTTTTACCGCTTGCATATTTCTTTTCAAGATCATCTAGAATAATGTTCCTTTTAGAGAAATAAAAGTCCCATTATATCCATGATGACACAGTGATATTAACGCCTGAGTAGTTAGTAGCAACAGAATCAGGAAAGCTAAGGGTGCTCATTGACAAGCAAATGCATAATCGATATTTTCCTGTGACCACTTCTCAATAGCTAACCAGGGGTACAACATGACAGTATCATCTCTTGAGAGTATCCATCTATAATCACATAACATAACAATAAATCAATGTATAATCTTAACAACGTGTAATCCAAGCCACAATTCAAATGCATGTATAGGGAGTACGCACTTGACGTGATCCGCGAGTAGCGCTAACGACGGGGTGACCATTTTGATGGTCCGCATGCTTGCCGCACGCCCATATAATTTGCTGCATGCGCTGTGTTCGAAATCTACACAGTAACTTGGACGGTTGAAGACTTCCAACACTCTCTGCATGCCGAAACATGGACAGCAGGATGGCCGTATGAACAGACCTTCAAAATGGCACGGCGATGGTGTTGCCCGCTTGCGGATCAAGGCTCATTGAATATTTTCTATAGTCAGCTGGTTTTGCCAGAACTGCTGTTAACTTCTACTGAACTAGATGTATGATAAACAGTACGCTATGTTGGGCCAGTTGGTGCATCGTTGCTTGAGAGGCTGTCTCTTCTCATTTTTTTCGGCTTTTTAAGCTTTCACCACACCTTTCAAGTACATGTATGATGTTTCCAACAGTGTTAAACTCTGAGCACCAAATAGATATCTGGGGTTTAACGTCCCAAAGCCACCGTATGATTATGAGAGACACCGTAGTGGAAGGTGCCGGAAATTTTGACCACCTGGGGTTCTTTAACGTACACCCAAATCTGACCACACAGGAGGCCTACAAGATTTCCACCTCCATCGGAAAAACTCTGAGCACCAAGCCATCTGAAACAATTACAGAAACAATGAGTTACACTGTTCTTAATAGCACTAACCAGAGCAGGCCACACATTGAGAAGGTATCACATACTCAGGAAACTGCAGGTGGGTTATGGCACAAACTGAAAACAAGTGCTCTGTGAAGACTATATTCTTTCACCAACATAGTCCACTTCGTCATATGCACTTGGCATGAAAGGAGAAAACCGTCTTTGATGGCTACAGCTGAAGGTGCAGCAGTGATGCTACCTGGTGCTTCTGTCTGCATTCATTCAAAAGCGACAAACTGCTTCTAAACGGCCACTTCGCTGTTTCCTAAATGCACATAAACACAAAGCACTTGTGAATGAGATATGATGAGACACAAGCAGGCCAGTTACTAAGCTCGTGGCCTACACTTGGGATTTTCAAAAAGTTTTTGCACTGACTTTGTAACCTACTGCTCTTGTGCATATGCATTTATATATGAATAGGATTTGCCTTCACCTTTGTTAGATGTTGAGATCGCACGCCAGGAAAGGTTGAGAATAAGTTTCTTTTTCTTTTTTTCTTTTTTTCATAGTCTCGTCTTTTCTCCTTTTATACATCGTCTGTAGTCTTACTTTGCAGACTTTTGGTCATTTCATTTATTTAAGATCAATTCCGACAACCACGGTCTTGGAAAGAAAGAAGATTGACTGGGGCCTTGTCACCGGTACGTTGCTTTAGCTGTGACAGGGTGCCCCGCCGCAGTGGTATAGTGGCTACGGTACTCGGCTGCTGACCCGCACGTCGCGGGATCGAATCCCGGCTGCATTTCTGATGGAGGCGGAAATGTTGTAGGTTCGTGTGCTCAGATTTGGATGCACGTTAAAAAACCCCACGTGTTCGAAATTTCCGGAGCCCTCCACTACGGCGTCTCTCATTATCACATGGTGGTTTTGGGACGTTAAACCCTACATATCAATCAAGCAGTGACAGGGTATAGAAAATAACAACCCCGCAACCATTGCTTGGAATAGTTATCACATTCAAAGTATGGCACTACTCGCCCAACAATCCCGGACTGCCTACTTGCAAAAATTTATGCCAGCACCTAGTATAACTGACGTCTTAATAAAAAATAATCCTGCAAAATTAAGACCATCAGCGTAAGGCCTCTCCATGGACAGGAAGTCGTACCAGTGCCACAGCCCCCGTAAAGCGAGCAGGAGCATATGAGCCCGACCACGTTGCTTAGCGCAAGTATCGCAGGACGGCGTAACGCACGCAGCGTCGTCGCTCACTCAGCCTGTCAGCGTAACGATGACCGGCTGAGTAACGATGACCGCAGTCGCGAAGTACGCGCCCCAACAAACCTTCAATCAACAGCGCGCACACAGGAACGGCAACACGCTTCACATACCTCGGCCGTGCTCTGTCGATGCAACCACAGATTCCGATATCAGGCACTCAGATGTCACCCACTATTCAGCTCACCCAGGGGTTCATCACAGAACACTTATACGACAATCTTTATTCACAGAGTTTCCTATAAATTTTAAGAAACTCTATGCTTTAATCCCCACACTTCACTGCAGTACACCATTCCAGCACAAAACAACAGACAACACATACAACTCAGTTCTAGTGCTATCACAGAACTACTAGAGTGTACTAGAACAAGGGGAGTGCCCGGACCAAGCTCCGAAAAGTGAAGCCCAAAGAGGGTCAATCCGCTTGTGGCGCTGCAATCGCTAGTGTGTAATGTGTCATCGTTTTAAGAGGTGCGTGCAGTTCCCCCGAAGTGGTCGAGGAGTAGAATGCTCGCTTCCCACTCAAAAGACCCAGGTTTGCATTCCACTTGTGGACGATAAGTTTTTTGTTTACTTTTATTTGCGAAATGTCTTGGTTGGCTTTTATTTTTCTAAATCTAGCTTCAGTTGCTACATAGTGCTACGAAAAATTCCACGAAATATGAAGTAAAAAACTTGACAGCGAGCGCATTTATTTATAGCGCTACCACATGAAATCCAACAAAAACCTAAAAGCATGGTTTCCGAAATTTTAGCGAATAAGAAAGTGTGTGTCACTCGCCAGCGGTCGTCGCCAACTGGCTCGCTTAAAAAAAAAAATAACTGAAAGTAAACGATCTTCGGTCAGCGGGAAATTGCGAAGGTTTGAATACTGGTAAAGCTGCGATGATCTGTCTAAGTTTTCAGTGTTCCTTCTGACACAAAAGACAAAATCTATTGGCGTGTAACATTAATTACAGCGATCACCAGTTGTGCGGGAACAGAAAGGCGAACGTGTTGATATTTTTATAGCAGACGAAAAAAAGCGCTGTCCACAGCGCTCGTGCGCGAAACTTCATAGTTGCCGCAGCGGGCCAACGGTGGAGCCGAGCAGACGACACGCGTGTTCCCGTTCAAATGTGGACCCCTCTGTACAAGTGAGAGTCTCACATCCTGTTACACCTTTTTGCAAATGATACCAACGCGGGAGGGCCACTGCTGTGTGCCCGGCTGCAGGGTTACCTCCAGAGGATCGACTGAATGCACTAAGTGTTCGCTAATCGCCGTTCCAACATGTCCGACCCAGAGGGCGAAATGGGAATACAGCTTACGCTTACCAAGAGGACATGAAAAGTTCAAGTGTGGTCTGCGAGGCACATTTCGAGCCGCATCATGTGCTTTGAGACTTCGTGCACATTGTAGGCGGTAGAGAGGTCAGGTTGCCCCGTGACCGGCCAAAGCTTGCAGTCGGAGCAATGCCTGCTCCTCAGCTGATAACAACGTCCTGACGGGGGGGGGGGGGGGGGGGGGGGGACAGGAGACGAATAATATGACAAATCCTCAGCATGCCAAACAATATGCCTCCGGGCCATCGCGCATCCCGTGATAGACTGCAGTTCGGAGACACAAGACGGCCACACAAATGGAAGACGAGACCTTCCTTCTCTGACGATGCCGTCAACCTCCGGATAAACACGTTCACCTGTCTGTTCCCGCACAACTCGTGATCGCTGTAATTAATGTTACACGCCAATGGGTTTTGTCTTTTGTGTCAGAAGGAACACTCAAAACTCAGACAGACCATCGCTGCTTTACCAGTATTCAAACCTTCGCAATTTCCCGCTGACCGAAGATCGTTTACTTTCAGTTTTTTTTTTTTTTTTTTTTAAGCGAACCAGTGGGCGAAGACCACTGGCGAGTGACAGCACACAGTCTCTCTTATTCGCTAAAATCTCGGAAGCCATGCTTTTAAGTTTTCGTTGAATCTCATGTGGTAGCGCTAAAAATAAATGCGCTCGCTGTCAAGTTCTTTTTTACTTCATATTTTGTGGAATTTTTTGTAGCATTATGTAGTAACTGAAGCTAGATTTAGAAAAATAAAAGCCAACCAAGGCACCTTCGCAAATAAAATTAAACAAAAAAACCTATCGTCCACAACTGTAATTCGAACCTGGGTCTTTTGAGTGGGAAACGAGCATTCTACCCCTCGACCACTTCGGAGGAACTGCGCTCAGCTCTTAAAACGATGATACATTACACACTACCGATTGCAGCGCCACAAGCGGATTGACCCTCTTTGGGCTTCACTTTAATTGCAGTGGTGCTGCGGCCGTTCCGGGTTCTCTCCTTGTTCTAGTACACTCTAACACTACTACAACACAGTGTACTACTACACATTGTACTAGAAGGGGGCAGAGGAGTGAACGAGGTGCCCGCGCTAGAGTGTACTAGAAGTTCTGAATGGGACGAGCAGCCGGCTCTGCACCTGCATCGTAGCGAAGCGCGGTTCGTTGACAGTTGGTGTGGCGGCGCTGCAGTCGCAGTGGATTGGTGGTGTTCGCACCGGCGGCACTGGTTTGGACGTGTTCCAAGTGTGTTCGTCGTCGCATTTACGTATTAGCTGCGGTGGCTCGTAATGTGTGCGTGAGCGCTGCTGCTGTTTCGTCTCTGTGTGCTACTGTGCTGTGGTGGGAGCCTTGAATGACCAAGTGAGTGAGTGCCAACGACTTCGGCATGACTAAAGCTAGGCTTCGCCATTGCTACGCGCCGGGATGCCGCACAGGCTATGCCGGCGTCAAAGCAGATAGGAAGCTGTCGCTTTTTAGCGTTCCAAAAGATGAACGTAGAAGAAAAATCTGGGAACGGAACCTCCATTGCAGCGACAAAGCTCTCGAGGAAAACTGTGCAGTGTGCGAGCTCCACTTCGAGGACCGCTACATACTGCGTGACTACGTTCACATCATTGACGGCAAAGAAGTGAGAATCACCCGTGGTGTTCCCGCGCTAACGCCAGACGCAGTGCCTACAATCTTGCCCAACGCTCCGAAATATTTGAGCACGAAACTGCCTCCTAAACGCGCCCCTCGTAAACGGGAAGCGCCTACCGTGCCGGGACCCCAGAATAGCAAGAAAGCTTGCACGAGTACGCCTGTCGACGATGACTTTGAAAGTCAAGACGACGTGCCCGACGTGCCGACAGCGTCGTTGAAGCTAGAAAACTTGCGAGAACTGAGGACTCCGTCTAAATATTGGTCGGTGCACCAATTCCCTGGCTATGAAGGCGCTGTTTATACACTGTCGCAGTTGGATACGTGCTCTGGCACTGTCACTTCAGAGAGGGCAGTCCTTTTTCACATGAGCGTGATCGAGCAAGCCAGTTACAAAACATTTCTGAACGGAAAGCCAGTCTCTGAAAGACTTGTGAAAACTGTATTGCAGGCAGAGGAAGCCCTTCTTCAAGCATCTAAATTTATGAAATGTCCAGGTGCACTCAGCACTTCGTCTATCACCGAAAAGGATTTAACGACAAAGCTGCTGGGCCAGACAACTGTGTTAGAGGGCTCATTCTACAACAAGAAGTGCGCAGGAACGACGGCTGCCGAAGGTAACCTGGAATCAAAGTCGCATGCAAAGTAGTGTTCTTTTGAATGCATCAACCGTTGCACGCTTCCCGAAATGTGTATGCTTCATGTAACTTAATAGATGATTTAATTTCAGCACAAATATTGATAGAAAAATATTTGTGTTCACCTTTTTGTACAGCCTCGTAACATGGTCAGCAACATGTAAATCAGGCTGACCCCTGCAATACGTACATGCTAACATAGTTTTTACTGCATACTTATGCAATGGGATGGCTACCCATTACTCTAAAGGGACTTATTTGTGGTGGAAGAGCAGTACTTACTTGCTTCGATGCATCTGGGATACCACATGTCTTGCTGTTATAGAGCCTGCATGCAACTTGATGGTATAGTCTAGGTTTTGCTGCATTGCGTATGGAATGATATTCTGCTTTGTAATGACCGTAACCCCATACATAAAAATTTAGATGTTCTAGATATGCATGGTGACAAGGGATTTTTGGCCATTTCTCTAAGGTTGTCCACTGCAAAAAGAGGGTAATTTGTGACACGTTGCTTTTTTGTTGTTTAGGAGCACCATGCCTACCATGTCGCTACCTACGAAAGTCCCTGCTGACACGACTATCTCGTCTGAGGAATCGTCGTCACAAACAAGCCATCACAGCAGCGCAAAAGCTTAGATGCGCATTACAAAGGCAAAGACGCTTGTGTAAGAAACTGTTGAGCTTACATTGCCAAATAGAAAGAATGAAGGCTCAAAATGCCAAAATAAAAATGGAAGCGCTAGAAGAGAAGATAGCCATGCTACCAGAAAAGCAGCAAGAGAGCGTGCGTCACTGCTTTGCAGCCTCAAAACGCAAGAGTACAAGAGGCATGCAGTTTACGAAGGAATGGATGCTTGAATGCATACTCATGAAGATGAAGAGCCCCAAGCTTTATAGGCATATCAGGAAACAAAATATCCTTGTACTTCCCAGCAACACTACACTAAAGAAGTACACAGCAGCGTACAAGACAGGCTTTGGTTTCTGCAGAAAAATGTTGGATACCTTAAAAGCAAAAACCAGCTCAATGGACTCCTTCAAGCGTCATGGTGTACTTCTCATTGACGAGATGAAATTGTCGGAACACTTGTCTGTTGAGAAAACTGGTAAGCTGCGTGGCTTTGTGGATTTAGGACCATTCACACCTGCCAAGGACGTTGGCCTTCCATGCGACCATGGAATGGTTGTGATGTTTGTACCGTTTGCCGGAAAGTTTTCCCAAATCCTGGGAGTTTTTGCCGCAAATGGAAATGTAAAAGGGGAACTTCTGTGCAAAATTCTTGTTGAGGCGACAATTCTGGCCGAGCAAGCGGGACTCTTTGTACGGTTTGTGACATGTGATGGGGCCACATGGAACAGGAAGATGTGGACGCTAATGGGTGTTCAAGGATCTGCCAGCAAGATTACATGTAAAGTCAAGCACCCTGTTGATGGAAAAAGGGAACTTCATTTCCTTTCAGACTTCCCGCATCTGACGAAGTGCTTACGTAACTCCCTGCTGAAGGGCGGCTTCAACACACCAGATGGACGGGTAAGGCTCTTTTTTCCTCTTGTGGAGTTAACCTTAAAAAGTCTGGGAAGTGACTCACCATGGCTTTCTTAATGCAGGTCTCTACATACTTCGTCAAAGAAGCCTTCAATCATGACAAGGATAATGTGATGCTGAAGGGAATGCCAGGGTTGACCGCTAGCCATCTCGAGCCAAATGTATTTGAAAAGATGCGAGTCTCCCTAGCTTTTCAGCTCTTTGGT